TTGTATTGGTTTTCGAAGTTTCAAGATCTCTTCTAAAGGTGACTTCATGACGCCATAAACAGTGCCAAGAAGCATCAAGAAATGTTTCAGCAGCGGCTGATGACTCGTCACACTTCTTCGAGATCGCCGATGACCCCCTTTCCTTTCAGCCCATGTTCGGCTATACGCGTCGTCGATTGGTCGCAAGTGCCATCGAACGGCTCGTACAGTAGGCACCCTCGAGCGCTGCCGTAGAAGCACCTCCCCTTTTGCCGTTCCGGTGTTCAAAACTGGCCAATCAAAGCGCGTCGTTCGAAGCTAAGTACACAAACCGGTTTCGATGACAATAGGCGTTTATTCACTGTGCAAACATAGTGGTCGCGCGTACAGCAAACAAAATCGCCCTCATTCAGATGATGTCCATAGGAGCCCCGAAGGCAGTCGCAGCATCAGAGTCGCATCTTCTGTCTAACGCTCAGATTCAGGCCGCGCTGCACCAGTCGACGCCGTTCTCGGTCACCGACATCCTCAGCCCCGTCGACGAAGACGACGACCATCTCGGCTCTGTGCCCCTGTCTCAGCAAGTGTCAGCCTCCAGCACCGCTACTTCCATTTCGTTCAAGGCATTCCGGCCACAAGCGATTATGAACCCAGCATTCGACGCCAGCGCAGCTCTTAATCCATTTGGGCCGTACCGAAGCCATCCCTCGCAGCCCTCAATGGCAACGTACCCCGGCGCCCAGCAGGGTGCCATACCTGGACCCTACCTCGGTCACTGCGCTGCAGCCGCCGCTGCCCAGAACTTTGCCTCCCAGTACAACAGCGCCGCTGAACTGCAGTCGTACGCCGCCGCAGCCGCCGCCGCCAACCAGACCGCCGCTGCCGCTTCTTGGTACGGTGCCGCCGCTGCTGGACATGACGGCCGCTTTGGAAGTGAGTGAAATGCTCTATCAAAGTGTCGTCTTCGCTTCGAGTGAGACAGAGAGAGGCCGGCCACTCTGCTTTAGTCTGCGAGTGTCTGGTTGAGTCAAGTCGCATCGCTGGAGAGGCATTGAGGGTACTTGTTGACGGTGCGGCAAAAACTGAACCGAGCGATGACCTCTCGTAACATAATTCGGCTGTTTACTATACAGTTCAAAGAGGAGGGTCCTGATCCGTTAGGTTACCAACTTTACAGTATGCCAGAACGGTTGACAACCCTTAATAGACTCTTTAAAGGCCCATTGAATAAAGAATTGGCTTATGGCTTTGAACCTTTCCGTTGCTTCTAACACCGACAGATTGTTTTTTTAGCCTCATCTTTCGATCTGTTTCTGAGGTAGCTAACCGAATATTAAAGGGATTGATAACACCTCTCTGGTTGAGCGATGACTGTGAATCATCATTGAAATGCATACTCTTATTCGTTTTATCTCCATGACTCAGAAGTCCTATGTGTTCTGTTTAAGTAGCGACTTTTTCGACAGTTTTTAAAACGAAATGGCTAATTAGAGAAAATTAGGATTAAGTGTAAACAGCCGACCTTTTCCTTATCTTGTTTTGGAGCACAAGAAGCACAAGTTCGTGTACGAATACGTTTAATGGAGATGGTAGGTGGTAATCCCTTACACCTATCATTCCGGTTATTCAGCAGCATGATAATCGTCTTTTAACGATTCTACAGATTGTTTTAACCAGCGTTTTCATTGAAAAGCAATGCTGACAGTACTTCCTTGACTGGAACAAGATGATGTTGGATCACTGAGTAGTATCCAAAATATTTTTTGTTTCTTTCGTGTCTTTCAGTCTGTTTCGATGCCATAGAAAAGACTGGATCGTATGTCATTGTCATCCGAAAATCTGGTGGCTAATGTCAACAAAAATTATGTCATAAACGCCGGTAGTGTTGTGAGGATAGCTCTCACGATATTCAATTAGTAAATACAGAAATAATCAAATATTGAAATTGTGCTCGGTCAAACACTGACGTCAATTTCATTGAGATTTCTACAGGTAACATGTTTTAAGATACCCAGTATATCAGACAGCGATTGAGCCCAGGTCATTGAAATCCTGAGGAGTAGACACGGATCAACATTCCAGCTGGTGTTCGAAGGCTACGTGACTTTCCGTGACACAGTAGGAAGAGGATACACAAAGATTTGTGTGGAATTTATTTACACCACATCGTTCACCTGCGGCATGGCGTCGTGGTGGCGAGGATTAATTTGGAAAACGCCCAGACTTGCCGTTTTTCAATCGATTCTTCGTCGAAATTTTGTCGACTTTGCGTGGTGATCAATGAATTAGCTGAAATTGCAATAATGTTGGCCATTTAACGATTCGTGCATAATCAGTGTTTCTGGCGCCGGTATGACTATGTCAAATTGTCGTCAAGCAGTTAATGACCTGTAGCTAAGAAAGTACTGACAGCAGTGCCTTAACCATGAGAGAAAGCGGCTTTCGTATTGAGCGGTACAGACGATCACAGTTCTTCAGAGTTCTGTTAGACTGCTTTGGGTAAAGAGGTCTTTTTTCCCTCTTCATAACCCAGTTTCGGTAATGGCATTTGTTTATCAGAAAGAAATATCGAATAGGACATGGGGTTATCATTATAACTTCAAGATTCCAAAAACTAAGCCAGATCTTTAAATCCTCATTACTGTAGAGATATATATCACCAATAAGGTCATTTGTGAGGCAGAACTGAAGACTGTTAAGTCGCTCCTGCCACACTGCTGTCGACATGATCTTCAGAAACGAGACAATCCCAACAGACGGCATTCAGTCATATGCTTGATGGAAGAAACATGTCGCAAACATTGCTCAACAATGTACGATGACAAAAGCGGCCACCGCACCAATTACAGACTTTAAAACTTGCGACACGACAAGGCAAGCGACCGCTCGTAGTTGAGATAATCCTCCTTCTTCGATCTGCTGCTCGACGAAGGCCTCTCCAAGACATGGTCATGAACTTCTATCTTCTAAATTCTACTCTGTTCTTGATTTAATGAACTTCTTGCGCTTTCCCTGTCATCGATCTTACGCTCTTTCCACAACCGATTACAGTTGTTTGGAATCCACGCTCATGCCTCTGTGCTCTACTGATGTTCGGAGTTTCGTTTCTTGCAACTCGTCCTCCTCACCAGTACCACTCGAACTTCTTCACTCGTAACTCGCATGCTCCCTCCCTCCATACTCTTCCCAAATTATTCGTTTTCCTAAAGATGCAATGTCAAGGCTGCCGAAATACACATGCTGTCTCCCCAGATCTGTTTAGAACGGAGCATCAGAAGAATCTTTGAACTTCTAAATGATGCCTTCTTTACCACCAGACACCTGTATCAGTCTACTCATCCAAACAAAATCAAATGATGACGCCTTATTTAAATAGGTTGCCTTCGATTGTTGAAGTAGCGCATTCATGTTTTACCTAGCATGACGATGAGCAGCAATCTTCGAAGCATCAGAAGAAATTCACTGCTTCCAAATGAAAGTTACATTTAGCTTCATGTCTACCAGCAAGATTGTACTACCATTTTAGATTCTGACGTATTCATAAAACATTGGGCATATCCATGATGAGTGGAACATGCCGAGTTGAACAGGAGTTTGCTATTTTCCCAGGAAAAGTTTATTATGCAACCTACCTGGAGTTCCTTCATTGCGAATGCGATATGTTCAAACGATGGTTCTATTTCTTGCGTATGACGCCTTACCATATTTACTTTCAGTATAAAAACGAACAACGAATTTGAATCTTTCAGCCAAAGTTTCCAATCAGATTACCTCTCACATGAAGCATTAAATTCATAACCTTCTAAACATAATTGCTTTGATCATATACCGATACTTAGCTTAGGCAAAAAATAAAATATACTTCACCATGTTTGCTGTTCAACCTATTTTAGAGGTCAGGTTCATGGAAATTAGTGAATGAATGAGTAAGGTATCTGTAAGGCAGCCGGTCAATCGCCAGAGCTATAATGTGAAAAACAGCATTAAGGAAGTGTAGCTGTTAAAATCGAAGCAAAGTTTCCAAAGGCTTACTGCACATTAAACAAATTTGCCCACGAACTCTCAAATTTCGCTTCAATGAGTAATCAGCACAGAAGATATAGATTCTCAAGCAATTTGATTATGTGAAATTAATGGATATGCTCTGCGGCCGCATGGCCGTCCCCATATCGGTGGAGGCAAAGGGATAACGCAATTGCACCAGCTAGATTTTCTTATCATAAAGCTTTGTACTGTCCTTCAAGTAGAAATTATTATCAGGATATGCTTTCACGACCAACCGTCCCATCCTTGAATAAAATGTGTTGCAAAACACTGGCGGATGAGCATACTTTGGAATTTGGAAGGGTATCTTCTGCTGTTGAATGGCTGGGAAAGGTGACAAGAACTTTGCATTTGCGTATGTTAGGTGCAATAGTTATAGAACTCAGAAAGGATCATTGCAATGGTCTGAATCAAAGCAACACGAAATACTAAATTACTATCCTTTGCGTGTCATCATACCGTCCGTTCAACAGGTACCGGCACCCATTATGACTGATAGCTGCTGATACTTTATCATCTCTCAGGGCATGCTGTAGACTGAGTATGGATTCTCCACGAATAGTGGCTGTGGAGGGAGACCTCTTGCCCTCATGGAAAACCTTGCGAGAAGCTCCATAATTCTCAATTCTGTTGACTGAGATGGAGGGGGCCTCTCTTTAGTATTTCCTACTCCATATACTGATTATAATGTCACTCTACTTATCCACGTAAGCGACTGTTTCTTCACTTTTGGGATGCTCTGACTGTAGACCAGTCAACATCCTTTCAAAATAAGACGTTCACAGTGCAGCAATGTGATGGTCACGAGGATGAGTATCCGTTCATAAACTCATCCCCAAGCTTAGGTGAACATAAGTGCTTCCAGCCTTCACTTCTGAATGGCTTTGTTGCTAGTGTTATTACTTTATTCCGGCTGCTTAGAGATATGCTGGAAATCATCTGTAATGTTTCGATTGTCCACTCAAAAATGCCGGAGCACGAAGCCGGTTAAGAAAGAAAGCCATTAGTGGGTATTCATTTTTGGTTGAAGGTTACGGAAGACAGAAACTGATACTACAGCGAATCGAATCTGTGGTGGTTTTCATTCGGAACAAGTGAAGGAAACAAATAACAAGAAAAATGTGGACTATAGAGGGATCGACATTTGTCATTTGTAATTCTCATAAGCTGTCCTAGTATCTTTGACATACTCGACATACTCTATGCAAGAGAAGGGTGAATACTGAGGCATTGAGAGGTAGCTAATTGTTATGTATACAAACGTCATGAAAATGCTGCTGCTGCTCTTAAATTTAGACAGTGCCTAGATAGAGTTGAGAGATAGACCTTTGTCAAATGTGAAATGATACATGTTGGTGCTATGATTTTCGAGGCTTTAACGTCACTTTTTCAGTTCCTCGCTTCATGACCAGCGGAGGTGCCGGTATGCAGATGGGCATGGCGGCGTTAAGTACTTGCGGGATGATCGACCCTGCTAAAGCGGCTGCGGCTGGACTCCAGTTTCCAATGGTACAGCGTCGTAAACGGCGGGTGCTGTTCACACAAGCTCAGGTGTACGAATTGGAGAGACGCTTCAAGCAGCAGAAGTACCTGTCAGCCCCGGAACGAGAGCATCTCGCTCAGCTCATCAACCTGACACCGACACAGGTTAAGATCTGGTTTCAGAACCACCGCTACAAATGCAAACGCCAGGCGAAGGAAAAGGCGATGCAGGACGTGCACCAGCAGCAGCAGTCGGCGTCGAAATCCTCTGACGACGAAGACCGAGATCTTGCTTCGACGTCACCCCCCTGCCAAAGCGCCAGTCCTCTGTCAGCCGGAGCTGCCGACGGGGGCGATTCCCCATCCCAACGGAACGGTGGACCTCATGTCTCGGACGACTCTCCACGGAAAGTGACTATCCCGGTGCTGGTCAAGGACGGCAAGGCTTGTCTGGATCAGAGTTCGCGGATCATTGTCACAGGTGCAGACCTGACCACCTCTGGAGTGGCACCTAGCAGTCCCATGACAGAATTCAGGAATGCCCTTGGACTGACCACTGGCCAAAACTGGCCACA